GCTCTAGAAGAGCGGCCTTATTATTACCCGGAGGAACGATATTAACTATTGATAATACATTGTATTGTAGTAAGTCTCAAAGAAACTTGTTGAGTTTCAAAGCTATTCGCCAAAATGGCTACCATGTTGAGACATCAAACGAAGGAAAGGTTGAATACCTTTACTACAATAAAAGAGGGTAAACGATATATGCACGAAAAATTGCCCGCATTTTCTTCTGGATTGTACCACACAAACATTGGTGTGGTTGAATCACATGCCATAGTAAACAAAAGGTTTACTACTTCTAATGATTTTATCATTTGGCACGACCGGTTGGGCCATCCCGGTTCTAACATGATGCGCAGAATAATAGAGAATTCAAATGGGCACACATTGAAGAACAAGAAGATTCTTCAATTTAAGGAATTCTCATGTGCTGCTTGTTCTCAAGAAAAAATGGTTATTAAACCAACATCAGCTAAAGTTGGGATTGAATCCCCTGCATTTCTGGAACGTATACACGGTGATATATGTGGGCCTATACACCCTCCATGTGGACCATTCAAGTATTTTATGGTCTTGATAGACGCATCTACAAGATGATCACATTTGTGCTTATTGTCAACTCGTAATATGGCATTTGCGAGATTGTTGGCCCAAATAATAAGGTTAAGAGCACAATTTCCAGATTATGCAATTAAGATAATTCGTCTTGATAATGCTGGTGAATTTACATCTCAAGCCTTTATTGACTATTGTATGGCCACTGGAATAAAAGTTGAGCATCCGGTTGTTCATGTTCATACTCAAAATAGTATAGCAGAATCATTGATTAAGCACCTCCAACTAATAGCTAGACCATTGCTAATGAGGACAAAACTTCCCCTTTCAGTATGGGGACATGCTATTTTGCATGCATCAGCACTTGTGCGCATAAGGCCAACCAGTTATCATAAAGTCTCCCCATTACAATTGGCTTTTGGTCAGGAGCCAAATATTTCCCATCTAAGAATTTTTGGATGTGCAGTATATGTTTCAATTGCTCTACTAAAACGCACAAAGATGGGTCCCCAAAGAAGGTTGGGAGTATATGTTGGTTATGAATCTCCTTCTATTATTAAATATTTGGAGCCTATGACATGAGATTTATTTACAACCAGATTTGTTGATTGTCATTTTGATGAATCAGTTTTTCTAACATTAGGGGGAGAAAATAAACAGCTAGAAAAAGAGATAGATTGGAACGTATTATCTCTATCTCATTTAGATCCTCGCACAAATCAATGTGAATAAGAAGTTCAAAAGATCATTTATATGCAAAACATTGCAAATCAATTGCCAGATGCATTTACTAACCTTCCACNAAGAAGTTCAAAAGATCATTTATATGCAAAACATTGCAAATCAATTGCCAGATGCATTTACTAACATTCCACAGGTTACTAAATCGTATATTCCAGCTGTAAATGCTCCAATTCGAGTTGATGTCCCAACTGGACAGTATGATGATGCAAATGAGTCTAGGCCACGCCTTAAACGTGGTAGACCAATTGGTTCCAAGGATAAGAATCCCCGAAAAAGGAAAGGAGCAAATGATCAAGTTGATCATAACATAGCAATTGATAAGACCTCACAGGAGGTTCTAGTAACTGGAAATGATAAAAATGAAGAGATATCAATAAGTTATGTCTCTACGGGAAAAAGGTGGAACCGAAATAACGTTATTGTTAACAACAATTTTGCATATAATGTTGCAGTTGAAATAATGCAACAAGATGAGGATCTTGAGCCAAAATCTATCGATGAATGTAGACAGAAAAATGATTGGCCAAAATGGAAAAACGCAATTCAAACGGAATTGGCTTCACTCAAAAAACATGAAGTTTTTGGACCAATAGTCCGAACGCCTGAAGGTGTCAAGTCAGTGGGTTACAAATGGGTTTTTGTGCGAAAACGAAATGAGAAAGGTGAAGTCGTAAGATATAAAGCACGACCTGTGGCACAAAGATTTTCACAAAGTCCTATCATTGATTATATGGAGACATATTCTCTGGTGGTAGATGCAATTACCTTCAGGTATCTAATAAATCTGGCAGTCCATGAAAAACTTGATATGTGGTTGATGGCTGTTGTCACAGCCTACTTATATGGCTCACTGGACAATGAAATTTTTGTGAAAATCCCTGAAGGATTTAAAGTTCCTGAAGCACATAAAAGTTTAAGAGAAACTTGTTCAATAAAGCTTCAGAAATCCTTATACGTATTGAAACAATCAGGGAGGATGTGGTATAATCGCCTTAGCGAGTATTTGCTAAATGAAGGGTACAAAAATGACCCTATTTGCCCTTGTGTCTTTATTAAGAGGTCTGGATCTGAATTTGTCATCATAGTTGTGTATGTTGATGACTTGAATATTATTGGCACTTCGAAAGAGCTTCCAAAGGCTGTAGAGTGTTTGAAGAAAGAATTTGAAATGAAAGATCTTGGTAAGACAAAATTTTGTCTTGGCCTCCAAATTGAGCATGTACCAAATGGAATTTTTGTCCATCAATCAACATACACTGAAAAGGTTTTAAAGTGATTTTATATGGATAATGCACATCCATTGAGTACTGCAATGGTTGTGAGATCGCTTGACATAAATAAAGATCCATTTCGGCCTCAAGATAATGATGAAGAGCTCGTTGGTGATAAAACTCCATATCTTAGTGCAATTGGGGCACTAATGTATTTTGCCAATAATACTTGACCAGATATTGCTTTTGCAGTGAGCTTATTAGCAAGATTCAGCTCCTCTCCAACAAAAAGACATTGGAATGGTGTTAACCATATATTTAGATATCTTCGGGGAATTATAGATATGAGATTGTTTTATTCTAATGAATTCAAGTCAGAAATGATTGGCTATGCCGATGCAGGTTATTTGTCTGATCCACATAAAGCCCGATCTCAAACAAGCTATTTGTTTACATATGGAGGTACTGCTATATCATGACGTTCAATGAAACAAACAATAGTTGCCACATCTTCAAATCATGCTGAGATAATAGCCATTCATGAGGCTAGTCGGGAATGTGTTTGGTTGAGATCAATGACACAACATATTCAGGAAATGTGTGGTTTTCTTATGTAAATAGATAATCCAACTACACTATATGAAGACAATGCTGCATGCATTGCTCAACTGAAAGGAGGATACATCAAAGGAGACAGAACAAAGCACATTTCACCAAAGTTCTTTTTTACGCATGATCTTCAACAAAATGGTGAAATTAATGTTCAACAGATTCGTTCATGTGAAAATTTGGTTGATCTGTTCATTAAGGCATTACCAACCTCAACATTTGAGAAGTTGAGACAGAAGATTGGAATGCGCCGTCTTCGGGAAATAAAGTGATGTTTTCATGAGGGGGAGTAAGATACGCGCTGTACTCTTTTTCCCTTAGTCTAGGTTTTGTCCCACTGGGTTTTACTGGTAAGGTTTTTAACGAGGCAACAAATAAAACGTATTACAGATATGTGTACTCTTTTTCCTTCACTAAGATTTTTTCCCTACATGCTTAATAAGATTTTAACGAGGCACATTATCTATGGACATCCAAGGGGGAGTGTTATGATAAATATCACATTATGGTGGATGTCTACTCTTCTTCCATGATTTTCATCTCAAATGCTTAATGACATATTCAATGATATATTTTGTATATTCAATGACATATTCCATGACATATTTTCTTCACTTTTTATGCCTATATAAAGTCCTTGTAATAGATAGGAAAATACACACAATTGAAGAAAAAAATCTCTTCCTTTTCTCAATCTTTATTTTTGTTCATGTTTTACTAAATTGCTTTTATTTCTTATTCATGTTTTACTAAATTGCTTTTATTTCATAATATATATATACGGAGTAGTTACTAAAAATCATCTATTTTATTCATTGTTTTAGGTGTGCAAACGTGCATGAAGTATCCTAAGTTTATAAAGGAAAACATGCAAAAATGGTCATCTTAACAACTTTATTATTTGGACAGAAAAAGTAAGTCTCGTACATGACTTCATATATCCATGCCTCAAAACCCCTTTCTACTTATCATCTCTTGTGAAACTATAGTTCCTTATGACATACTCACCAATTACTATTATATTCCAGACTGAAAATTTTTGTACTAGTGTGCGTGTTTACATCATAGGTCAATTTTGAAGATCTCTCGGATGACTTCAGCCACCTGCTGCTAGAATCGGCAGAGGTGGTTTTTAGGGTGGTAACACCGGGTTCATCTAAACTCAATACTTTAATAAATTTACGTGTAAAAATCTACAAGTTACAACAAATTATACATATAAACTCTTAACTTCAAATCTTTAGTGCTAAAATTTTTTAAGATTGAACTCGTATAACTTAAATTTTAAATTTGCCTCTGAAAATCTGGTGATATTCTTGATTAGTTTTCTATCTTTTTCATTTTTTTTTGTTTCGATCCAGCCATGAAATTTTGGTGGTAGGATAATTTCTTTATTTTATCCAAACCCCCAAAAATATAATATATGATTATTGACAACTAAAAGGAATAATTCAGTTGCCGATTATATATATATATATATATATATAACTTCTTTTAGAATTGGAAGCTTCCATTTCTTGTTTCGTTAAGGTGGTAAAATATGATTAAAAAAATAAAAGAAGGGTACGGGGAAATATTTGAATTAAATTGGAAAATGATATCTTTTTTTGTTGCTGCATCGTCTATTTTCACGACTCTAACAGATATCACTTTAATATAAAAACGAAGCAAACGAATGTTTCCGAAGGTTAGTGGAAATGACTGCAAGCTTTTATTTTCAAATTATGTAGGCTGCAGGGGCGGAGCATATATAGCACTTTGCGGGTTCCACCGAACTTAGTAACTTTGGTTCAAAACTTATATTTGTCTTAAAATTTTTATTGAATATATATATATAAATTGTTAATTTAGAACTCAATAACATAAACGAACTAGAATCCTGAACCCACAAGGTTCAAATTCTGGCTTCGCCTATGAACTAGGCTGTAACTATTTTCATTTATAAGTATCAAATATTGTCAAACACGACATAGGACAGACATGCATGCAACACACGATATCACTCCAGCAATCAGGATTCTTATTTATCAATACATGTGCATGTACTTCCAAAGTAAAAACAATTAATACAAGTATTATTTTTGTTTAACCAGCTTATCCTCACCGTTTTTCTTGACGTTATTGGCATACGTCTTGAAATGAAAGTTGAGAAAAAGTGCTAAAAGTGAAACATTAAAACTGATAGTGAAGAACCAGACACCAATCCCAGAGCACCCAAACTCACTAGTCAAGTGATAGTAAATCACTGCACCCAAACACAAAAAGCAAAACATGAACTGCAAAATTTGAACGTTAGTGACCAGTTTTTTCCACCATGGCCTTTTTCCTACAGCAGATAGGAAATAATAAGCGTACATTAGTACGTGAACAGAAGCATTAGTGATCACCCCAGTATGCAACATAGACTGGCTATTTTTTAAAGTCATGTAACACAAAAGTGGCACCATTGCATGGTGGTACACGTGGAGGAACGAGAGCCGTCGAGATCTTGAGCTACTTAGGATTATTGAAAGGGTGTCTATGAATTCAAGAATCTTGGAAAGGTAGAATACGTAAGCCCAAAAGAAAATCGGTCCTCGGGGAATGATATTTGTGTAATTATTTAATCTGTTATAACATATGACCCAAGTCCAATCGTGGGCCGCCACTTGGTGGACCACGGAGAGGCTGCAGCCCACGACTATGAGAAGCGAGAGGACACATAGGATGAGGCTGTGGGTGGCGGTGATACGGCGGAGGTTGGCGGCGGAAATCATGGGAAGGAGTGTTGGGAAACGGAGAGATAATATAGTGAAAGACAAGTACATGAACATTGACACTATGGGAAATAACAATGTGGCACCAAAAGTTTGGCCATGCTTAAACTCAAATTGGCTGATAATTGGGTGACCAACTAGCCAGTAATGGACAATGAGGTAAAGATCTTCCATTTTTATGAGATGTTGAAGAGATCGATGTAGTTTGTTATATTTCTATAGATGATGAAGGATCTATTATGAGAAGGAATAGTATATATAAAGGTCTTGGATGCAAGGTAGAACCCCTTTCGTTCAAGGGATGGAGTGTGGACGTAAAATTTTATAGGTTCTAAATTTGTCATCAAATTTTTAGTTCGTCTTAATCACTAAGTTTGCCATTAAATATTTATATATTTTTAATGAATATTTTAATATAAATACAAAATTGCAAAAATTATTGGATTCATCCGAACCCATATTTCATACTCTACCTCAGCCCCGTAAACAAGATTATAGTAAAGACCCCCTTACCAATTTATGTTTTGCTCCTATCTGTTGTTCCAATTATATCGATTCCATCGTCTCTAGACTCTCTTCCATCTTACAAACTAATTCCAATGACTTTAAACACACCAGGTTAAGTACAAGGTGCAACAATGTAGCAAATTTTGATAGCTTAAAAATAAATAATAACCTATTTCGCTTAGTTATATTATATTTGATTGTGTAAAAACTTCTTAAAGTGTCAGTTTATATAACTTAATTCTATCCACGAAAAAGGGCCAAAATTCCCTTTGACTATTTGACTTGGTACAAATGTGCCATCCGTCCATCTATTGAGCCAAAAATGCTTACACTGTTATCTTTCTGGCTCACTTATGTCCCAACAACTAATGATCAATGCCATATAAAAAAAAGCTTTATTTAAATTACACGTGCCAAACTTTTTATTGCACCAATTTTAAACCATGACCCCAATTAAATAAACCTACCCTTAACCCAGTTTTTAAATTACCCAACCCAAAACTTCGACCCAGCTTAAAAAAATGGTCAAACTCTTGATTGTCAAAAAAATTAACTTCTCCATTTTTACAATTCTACCACCATCATAGCTGCCACCATCCCCTTTCCTCTATAGCAACCACGCTGCCACCACATTTTTAGTCTAGGGGCAGTTTTGATCATTTTTTATATTTTTATCATTTTTTTCATTTTACATTTACCATTGGAGCTGAATTTTTCGAAAATGTTCATCAAAAGACCTTAATTTTCACATTTAAATGTCACTTACAATGGTAAAATTTTTTCTTTCCCATCACATAAGCTCATCACAGAACCCATTATGAATTCATGGGCTTTAAATTTCAGAATAGTCTAATCGAACCCTTTCGATTAGCATAATATTATCGCTATTATTGTTCGAAAATGGAGGAATGGAGCAAAGATGAGAATCATGGTTGTGGTGGCAATATGGTTGTAATGGAGGAAAGGGGGTGGTGACAGGGTGATGGTAGAGTTGAAAAAATGGAGAAGTTAATTTTTTTAACAATCAAAAGTTTGGCCATTTGTTTAGATGGGTCGGATTTTGGGGTTGGTAAAAAAAAGGGTTAATGGTGAATTTATTTAAGCGGGGTCATAGTTTAAATTAATTGGACTAATAAAAAAATTTCACGTGTAATTTAAATAAATTTTTATTATTTAGCATTGACCATTAGTCGTAGGGACATACGTGAGCCAAGAAAATAACGGTAGGGGCATTTTTAACTTAATAGGTGAACGGAGGCATATTTGTACCAAATCAAATAATCCGAGGATAGTTTTGATCCTTTTCCGTTCTATCTATGATGAATATGTGAAAAATTGGGCGACCAACTAGCTAATATTAAACAACAAGCTAGAGTAAGGATCTTCTATTTTATGAAGAGATATGCTAGTTACTTTCTTTATATGAAGGTTGATCATTGATTTAGCTACTCCCTCCGTTTCATTTGTGTGATATTTTTTTATTAACCTTTCAAAAAAACATCTTTTTATATGAAACTAATTTAGTTTTAAACCTTATATATATNATTTAATAGGAAAGAGCCCCACCACGCTTTATTTTGCTCCAATCTGTTGTTTCAATTTTATCACAATTTTCATAAAGATATAATTGACGCCCAACCCTTTTACTGTTAATTAATTAACGTTACCTAATTAAATTGTAGCTGCCATTACAAATTCCAACGAGTTTTACAAGTTTAACCAACTAATTGAACGGATAAGCGACTTGGTTACGAGTCTTTCCCTGCCTTTAACGATCTACATCTACAAATAAATATGTTTTAGTTGGGAGATGATATTGAAAGATCGATCAACAAGAAAACGACTAATAACCAGCTGAATAATATAATTATTACATGCAATATATATAACTAAAGTAACTTATGCCATGCCACGTGTGCTGCCAACTTAACTGAGAGGGAGAAGAAACAGAAGAAGTTAGGAGGAGGAGGAAGAAGAAGAGAAGGAGAAGACTCCTTTATGGTTTTTACACGTTACATATTTGGCACTGTATATGGAAATCACATGCAAAAAACAAAGGGGAAAAATATTGCAGTAGTACAAAATAGCTAAGTTAGTTAAGACTTCGGTGAAACTTTCTTTTTAGTCAGAAGGCGGATCCAGAATTTAAATTTTATGTGTTCAATTTTAATGTTATCCATTATATTTTTAAAGTTACGGGTTCATATCTACTATTTTTACAATTTTAAAAAAATTTTACAAACAAATTTTTACTCCGCATAAAAAGTTATGGGTTCAGTTGAATCCGTAGGTAATGCACTACATCCTCCTCTGTTTTCAGTAGAGATTTGCATATAGAGTGTTCTTTTTCTAGATTTCAGAATACTCTATATATGTACGTAATGTAATTCTGCTGGACAGAGAAGGATATTTATTCGTTGAATGAATTCATTATTACGTTAAATTCTTACATATATACATTCATTAGACTTCGCCATTTTTTTTTCCGGGTTCTATTCTCAATTAGACTTGGTATTATTAATTTCTTCTCTTCAAACATGTGCCTAAGCCGTTTTTTTTTTTTTTTTTTTTTTTTTTTTTTTTTTTTTTTTTTTTTTTTTTTGCTTGAAGGCGAGATTTTTATTATTATGCAGGAAATTAAAGAGAGTTATTATAGCCTGGCATTGATTTTAACGAAGCAGTCCCTAGTAAGTCTTGTTGGGGATTTTAAGAATAACGAGGCTTAAAATAGAGTGAATGGAAAATGGAGAGAAATGAAATTTTTAAGTGAAAATTTAAGTTTCCTGTCTTTGGCAAAGGGACATTGTCCCATATTGGAAGAGGAAGAAGTTTTTTATGGGTATATAGGCAATTGCTCCTTTTCTAACTCTTAAAGAGTTGAGAAGAAGGTAAGCGTCGCACAGTCATCGTCGTCGTTGTCGCTCGACTCAGATTTGGTCGATTAATTGATTAATTTTTTGGACCAAATTTATTTGTTAATAGTAAAATATTAACAGAAATGTTATTAAATATTCGTTTTAATAACAGAATATTAATATTAAATAAATTAATTATTTTCCCTCTTCAATTTTCCCTCTTTATTGTTGAGTAAATAACTATTTATGTTATGACATTTATGCTATGGCCGTTTTACATAAACAACCATTCTGAAGAGTTGCACCTCTTCAAATTTCAGCCCAACTTTGGCTATAAATACAAGTCTATTCTGCTCAGAATTTTCATACGATTTTCTGAGTTTCTCCTCCTTCTGCATTGTTTTAACTTCAAACAAAGCAACAGTAAGTGTCATTTGCTAACGAACTTTGTATTTGCTGAAACACCGGAGTTTGAAGAACCACTACACCAGTGTGTAATTCGTTCTATCTTGGGAGAAAATAATCCATTACCTTGGGTACTAGGAGGAGATTAAATTCCTTAAGGAAACATTGTGAATTCAGTGAGCTCGGATTAAATTCTGTTTCTGTTTTTTATTTCTGTTTATACATTCTCCAGAATTATTTTACAAATATAGTCTACTAACAAGATTAAAGAATTTAATTTTTGTATTCTGTATTTGTATTTATTCACTGTTTTGGATTTAAAGCCTTTGTGGTTTCTACTCCATTGGAGATTAAAATCTACGTGATTTTAACATTTGTTTGTGTCATTCTTTTATAGAAATGACTAATGATAACAAGAACCAGGCTGTTCCAATGGTGACTGCCAATGTATCAACAAGCCGAACACCAGCGTTGGCACCAGCGGAGAAACCCGGTTTCCGGGTTAGATTTCAAGCGGTGGCAGCAGAAGATATTCTTCTACTTGACTACTTTAAGTCTGCAGAAATTCATCAAGGAAGATGTTCCTGTTCTGCCCGATGAAACTCCAGAGAATGAACGCTTTCTCGTGATTGAGGCGTGGAAGCATTCTGATTTTCTGTGCAAGAATTATGTTCTTAGCGGACTAGAGGATGATTTGTATAATGTCTACAGTGGCATGGAGACGTCAAAAGAATTGTGGACAACGCTTGAAAAGAAATACAAAATTGAAGATGTCGGGTTAAAGAAATTCATTGCCGCCATATTTTTGGACTACAAAATGGTAGATAGCAAGTCTGTTATAAAGTCCAGAAATTGCAATTGATTATCCACGATCTCCTTGCTGAAGGTATAAATCAAATTAATATTGATGTTGAAAGTAGTAATCTTAGTATTTTTACTAACAGAATTTTCATTGAAGGTCTTATCACCAATGAAATATTCCAAGTAGCAGCGATGATTGAGAAGTTTCCTCCTTTGTGGAAGGACATCAAAAACTACTTGAACACAAATGCAAGGAGATGTACCTTGAAGATCTCATTATTCGATTGAGAATCGAAGAAGACAATAAAGCTGCTGAAAAGAGAGGACATGAAAACTCAACAATAATGAGAACAAACATTATTGAGGATACTTATCAAAATAAGAGAAAGAGGAAGCATGCTTCTAGACCAAAAAGCAACCCAAGCAAGAAGCGGTTCAACAAAAAATGCTACAACTATGGGAAAGCTGGGCACAAATCTAGGAGTGTCGTGCTCCGAAGAGAGACAAGAAGAAGGGTCAAGCAAACATGGTTGAAAAGCATGAAGATGTTAATGACTTGTGTGCTATGCTTTCTGAATGCAACTTGGTGGGAAATCCTAAGGAGTGGTGGATTGATTTTGGAGCCATTCACCATGTTTGTGTTGTTAGGGAAGCCTTTGCAACATATGCTCCTGTTGGACCTGAAGAGATGCT